TACCTTCCTAAGCTGTCTTTAAACACATTCAGGACACTTTTCCCACTATATACTACATCCTGACAGGTTTTGAGGACATTCTGGAACAGGAAGTGGCTCGTAACTAGGCCACACTTGCTCCGATCTGCCCCAAACTCGACATGCCGGATCACAGTCTCGCCGTGCGCGAATGCCGACAAGCGTAGGGCGAGGACCCGTCCATCGCCGTTTGCGGCTTTAATTTCTATTTGATTTAGCTTGTATCTGCATATGCTGTATGTCCTGTTTCTCAATACCAGAAAAAAACTGCTAATTTTCCATCATTTGTTTTCTGAAGTTGCAAATAAGTAAACTAAGTGAAGCAGATATGGATGTTTTGCAGGTATTTGGTCATTACAGACCCCCAAACTACATTTAAAAGCACACATTTGCATAATTTGTGCACATAATTTAGAATGTTTTCCTGCAGAATGAATAATTTGTGATATGGCAAAAAAAAAAGTGTAAACTTTATGTCAAAATTCTTGCCTGAAATTTGCCTTCCATTCTTGCTGTGCCTGATTTGGATTTAATAAGTTTGTTTTTTTTTTTTTAAATTTCAGCTGAGATGTTATCTTTTTTGTTTTTTTATTTGAAGATCTTTTTATCATACTTTTCAGAGTAATGTTGGAATAATAACTTACATGACTGCAGATGTCATCACTGAAATGCATCATGATTCTTTTACAATAAATGAAGATGTAGATATGTTTGTTTGAACTTGTTATTCTGTAAATATACTTATTGTATTCATCTACTTTAAAACTGTATTCTGTTATGTGTTGTTGTCATGATGTGTACATGTTACCTGTCTGGCTGTCGTGCCGCAACCAAATTGTCCATATGTGTTCTTAAAGACCGAACTGGACTAATTTGTGTGCACAGATAAGTAGGTTTAAAAGATTTAGCAGCATTATCATGTGTACAAATGATCATTTCCAAAGCGTGACCTACTGAATCTCGTAAACAAATGATTGTTTTGACACTTTCCAGAAACTGAATGTCATAAATAACTGGCAAAAAAAATACGTTTCAACCAGATGAAGGTGCCAGGTGAAGAATCATTCACAGGAACACGTGCACCAAATTTCATAGAAATATTTTAAACCGACTAACAAACAAAAAGACAGACTGATGCTGCCATCAGTGCCGTCCTTCTGTCGTAATTCACACATGGAGAGAAACATTTTTCTAACAAATGCTTTATTAGTCAGTTTTAAAAATGAACACACTGGTCTGGTGATCTACAGGAGTACCACAGTACACAGCCACACGGAGATGAGAGATAAAAACAGTAACACTACACACATGCACCGACACACACACACACACGCACACACACGCACGCACACACACCAACATGATGGGTTATTAACACATTTTCCGCCTCGTGTCGTTTGCCCGTCAAACACGTCATCGTCTTGGTTTCATGGTTAGGAGTAAACAGAAGATACATTCAATAATCTGCTGTACAAGAATGTAGTACTTACATTTGCCTCCCATTGCCTAAAAATACGATAATATCCCCCTCCCCGGATCCATTTTTAGGTTTATATATATATATATATGATCACGTCTTTTTAAAAAATTGCAAAGATGTCTATATACACGGAGGAGGCGGTGAAGGTAACCACAAAAAATAAAGATTAAGTCATTAAAATAAAACTAAAAAGAATACAAACAGTTTGTGAGAAGGCAGATGGCAAGCCTTGACGCTTTCCCTTTTGTCTTCTGTTTAAGATACCATGGCAACAGATTGATGGTTCGCAAAGACGGGAGAATCGGGGAGGAAAAAAGGAGGATGTCTCAACACGTAATCATCTTCTGTCTACATGAGGTTCTGGGGGGAAAACAAAAAGCACACAAACACAAAAGAATGAGCGCAAACAAATGCACTGACACTGATTTAAATACAGATTACACGAAACAGCCAAGAGTCCGATCGATGCTGAATTTTTTTAAACGGCGGTATCAATATTTTATGCATATCAGAATTTATTGCTTTTCCTTTAGATGCACACTGAGGAATTGGATGAGAACAATGCTTCCTCAAATCAATACACCAAACAAACAAAAGCCATGTTTTCATCATGTTTTCATTCCCCAAAGTTTCATTAATGCTGTTTTTATTCACAACATCTCAATGCGTCCTCTTCGTCTGCAGTTGGTTATTGGTTAGGGGATCAAAACATGCATTCATTTGCTTTTTTTTTTTTTTTTAAAAGAAATATTGCAAAACTTTAGATTTGAATAGAAACTTTACTTATCTAATGCTTCAGTTCTGCACTTTCTTGCTACTTTTTTAGCCGACATATAGAGCACGCCAAGAATTATGCATTTATGAATTGCAAAAACTTACTGCAATAGCAAAGTAACCCCATTCTCTCACAAAAATACTTTTAAAATACTTTTTTAAAAAATGATATATACCTACAAAAACTGACAATTATCTGAAATAGAGGAGTCGCACCACCAATTCAAAATGACCTTTAAAAGTGATACTGAATATGCAGAGCGTAGCGCTGAATAGCAAAGAAGTCGACGGTGTTGCGTGGGTGGTTTGCAAACTTTTCAGGGACACTTTGGTAAGAAGAAAAAAAAATGTTTTCCCCTCAGTTGCAAAAACACTTAAATCACTACATTTCCTCCTTGAAATTAAGCTCTTTGCAGCTTCCACCCTCTATCACTGAACAAACATGTCGTTCAAGCCTGTAGAATGGAACTTTTATTCAGAAAAATGTGGATGAGTTCATCTCCTTCAAATAAAGTTTTATTAAAAAGCACCACCCTTACACATGCTGCATATTTACCCACAAGAGAACATAAACTCCCTGTTTTGTATGAGGACATTCAGGAGATTGAGTGTTTTTTTTCTTGATTCACAATCTTAGATCACTACTTTTTGATCTCTTGTGTCCTCATTTTACGGCTGAACTGACCGTAATCCACACTTTGCAAACGCAGTATGCGTTCAGCAGTTAATACACATACCTCATCTCTCCTCCGGCCAGCAGTGGAGGGTCTCGGAAAGCCTCCTCCTCCACCCAGGGACCCGTAGCCCGACATCTGGACCTTGGGGAGGAAGCTCGACTGCCCATACGGGATTACATTCTCATCTGCACACGACAAAACAGATCACTGAAAGTTACAGCTGTGTTTATATAGGTTAAACCCTAAGTGAGGGAGCAGACTGAAAATAGACCCCCTGCTATTAAAAGCAGAGCCACTACTACGGGATAATAAGTGTGCACACACGGCAGTTGGTTCTTTCTAAGCTGAAAGGGATTTGTATGAAGCGTCACAATAATATTAACACACATCTACTTGAGGTCCAGCTGTTGAAGCAAGATGGCACATATTGCCACAACATAGATTGTTCTTTTTTAAAATTTTCATCTCTTACCCTGCGGTAACCACTTTGCCGATCCTCTCCTCTGGGGTGAGAAATGTTCTCCCCTCTTAGGAAGAGTTGGGGAGTCGCTCCCCTCTTTTCTTTCGCCGTCGGTTCGGCTGCGGCTCAAAACATCCGCCAGGAGCTGCAGGGAGTCATCTGTGGGAGGGGGAGCTGGTGGAGGGGGGAGTTCTGCATATGATCGATCATTGATGATTAAAAAAACCAAAAACAAAACAAAACAAAATAAACCAAAGACAAATTCAGCTTTAATGGAAAAGTTGGACATTAAAGGGAAAAGCGTTTGTTCACTTTCTCGCCCAGAGTTAGATGAGAAGCTACAACTTGTGTGTCTCATTATTAAATATGAAAATGCAGCCGGTTAGCTTTGCAGCAGAAACAGCGAGGAACCGTTAACCTGGCTTTGCCCTAAAGTAGCGACAATCACCTTCCTGATTAACACGTTATAAATCTTGGCTGTTTAATGAGTACAGAAGCTGCGGTGCAAAAAAAAAAAAAAAAGACAACTGGCCATTTTACAGGTTGTCGTGACCAGTTGCCAGGCAACCAGTAAGGATGTAACTCGTCCTGTTCAACAACGAGTTGAACACAGAAGACCTTGGGCAAGAAAATGAGTAAGCACAGCTCCCAAAATGTCAAACTTTTCCTCGAGCAGTCTTTGCTAAACATGTACAACATTAAAAGTGTCAGAAATAATGCTGCCTGGATTCTTAGGAGGCCGTGCTGGTGAATTTGTGATGCTAAGCTAAATGCTAATGTCAGGATGCTAGCATGGTCACAGTGACAGTGCTGACATGCTGAATGGCAAACAGGTGAAAAGTTCACCGTATCGACAAGCTTAACTTAGTGTTTTGATGGTAACGTAATTTTCTTTGCAAGCATTTATCAAAAAAGTATCGGAAACAAGGAAATTCTGACCTAGTGATTGTGTTAGATGAAAAATTATCGCCAGAGTTATTATGATTCAGTCTCTGTGATTGTCTTCTTTTTATTTATTAGAATTAAACATGATTACAGAATGAGAACACTAAATGGTCTTTGTTTTAGTTGCTTTTAGTTGCTCTGAAAATAGCAAAGAGTCATTTACCATAACACAGGATGATCCTTTGACGCCAAGCAGTGACTGAAGCCCGTACGGGACAAATAGTATGTTTCTGTCTAACTTTAGATTTTAAGGTTAATAAATTCAAGAGCAAGGTGGAGATTTTCCATTTCTGTAGAAAGACCTTCACCATCACAAATACTTTCCTCACTACGTCCATCCATTGTTTAAGAAGGGAAGTTCAGATTTACACGAGTTTTTGAAATTGATTTTTTTTCTTTTTTTAACCAACACTGAACAACATTTTACACTGATATCAATCTGTCTTCACAATAAAATTCTCTTTTCTTTTTCACCAAAGTCCAATACCCTGATATCTTTGGGGATTTCATATTCTAGGATCTTCCTTACAGTTTTGCATCTTGTCCAAAAATACTTGGCCTGCATCCTCCAATACTGTTGTAGTAATTGGGGTTGTTAATTTCTCTTTTATGGGAACCCATCTCATAGTTGTGGAGCTATTTTGGTTGAGACTAACATGATGAACGTCCAGACTGACACTGAGGTCCACAGAGCCATGTGACTGGAGGGGTTATAGATGCTTTAAAATAGGCAAATAGATTCTTTTTTTCCAAACTAAAACAGAAATTACATGTATAAGAAACAGCGCATAGTACCTGCTTCGCTGTGCAGCTCTCGCCTGCTCTGTCCGTCCTTGGGCGTTTTCTTCTTACTCCTGGATCTGTGCGTCTGAGCTGTGGGGCTCGACTCTGCAGCTGAAGCAGATTGTCCTGACAAGAAACCACACTGATGTCATCCTCAGGAAACTTACGAGAAACCGGGGAGCGCTGGGCTTCACTCTGAGTGAATGCGACATGATTCTCGTGTACAAATACTCTCTGTGAGTAACATCATAAACTAAATTATACATGACACCGCGTGGTTGTGTGCGGCCTGTTCCGAGGATGCGAGGCACTAAGACGAATTCAGACTGACCTTTGCCGAGGCTTTCCCCCTTGAAATCGTCTGCCCACTGGCTGGTGTGGTACACCTCGCTGGCGTCCCGGGCCTTGGCGTTGGTAAACAGATCGGGGTTGGACTGGGAGACCTGGGAGTGGTGACGGGCCAAGAGGTCAAAGTGCTGCAGCCGTGGACTGTCGGTGGGTTTGTTGGCGTCTCGCTGCGGGTAAGACATCAGTGTGGCTGTGTAGGAAAGCTCCTCCTGTTTGGGCGGCGGGCTGGAGAGCTCCTCCTTCGAAGTGTCCATCAGGTAAGTTCTGGCCGGCAGTGGAGGACACCAGTCGTCATCTTCCTCCTCAGAGCTAAAAGAGGCACAGTGAGTAAGAGCAGGGTGTGTCTTTAAAACTGTAAAAACTACACGTATAAATAACAAACAGCAGGGTAGCGATGAGGGGAAGAGTTTAACTAAGTTACCAAGGCACTAGTGTGGAAATGATCCTAGAAGCACCTGAAATTATCTGCAGTTCTTAAATTTTACATTATTAGCATTGCAGCTAAACTGTTGGCGGCATAAATAATTTATCTGGAGGATGAGAGACAAGATGAGCTCATAAAATGGATTCTAAAGGTCACTGCAGGCAGGATTGTGCAGCAGATTACACTAAAATCACAGAGTCTGTTTTACTCTCTGTTGTAAGTATTATACCACATTACATCATTTTTAAGATGCTTGTACTGTACAGTGTTTTACAAATGATACCTTTGGAAACGCAATCATGTTTATTGCAGCATTTTTGGTCAATTTACGCTTATTCTTACAAACATTAGTGATCAGCAGCATCACAGAAAATCCAGTTCTATTTCTTTTCAAACAAATCAAACAGGGTTTAAAGCGCTTTGAAAGTATTTGATAGAGATTTACTCACATGGAAACAACAAAACTGAAGACAAAATAAGAGTTGAGTAGTAAAAAATAAATACAATTACGAAACAGTTCATAAAAATACAATGTAAAGAAATTATGGAATATTGCAGAGAGTAAAATGAATATATCTGTAATAGATTATGTCTTTAAGTTTCTCAAGTGTCATTGAGCTACTTGCAACAAAGTGTATTAGCACCAGAACTAATTATTAATTCTCCAAATAAAACATAATTCCAGTGAAATCTTGCTTTGTTTTCATTTATTATGAAATACAGCCTCTTCTCTCTGTGCAGAGGCCTGAATAAAATGGACTTTTATGCTGAGATTATAAAGAAGATCTACAAAAAAAAAATACTTCTCATGGGAATAATAGTGCAAAAAAAAAAAAACTCATGGTGAAAGCTTCACACAGTAATTAGAGCTTGTTCAGAAAGGAGGATAAAGAGATTTCAGATTTTGTTAAATGTGATCAAAACACTGATTGGACTTGAATATAAAACGATAAATCATGTGTTTCATGCAGATTTTCAACAAGTATGATGTTTTGCTTCATTGTGTTAACATACAACACAACACAGTGCAGTGGATGACATCATATGTTTTGCAAGGATTTAATCATAAAGCAAACTGCTGGTTTTCACTTGTTGCTTCACAAATGTCTCGACAAAATTGTATCTGAATCTCTTAAACGGCTGTTGAGATATTTCTAAAGTGTTAGACAGACAAATCAACATGTATAGAGACATACAATGACAACAAATAATGTGAAAAAGTATATAATCTCATTACAAGTTCCTATGAAAAACGGGAGACCAGTCTGGAGTAACAGAGGACGAGAACCACCTCCTTGATTCCTGTTGTCACTTCAGTGCCGTCAGGCCTAATTTAATGACGGACATGTCATTGAAAATGGAAAGTACTAATCCAGCCTGTCAGATGGTGGCTAATGTCATTACAAAAGACGCGGCGCAGTCAGAACAGCCCTCCGTTGCCGCCCCGTTATGTCCGCAATCTAAAGTGTCAGAACTAGTTAGAGTGAACTCTCCCCTCTGCAGCCCCGAAGCGCGATCGACTCACTGCCCGGAGACACAACTGTTAATTTGAAAAACTCCCCAGACTCCAAACTTCACTCAAGTTTTGTTTGACAGCCTTGGCAGAGTTACAGGGCAGGCTGTGATATCCATCTGCCTTAACTCCCTCTGTCATATAGGTGAAATCGGGGGAGGGGGGGCCTTGACGCTAATAATAAATTGACTGAATGAATATTAGAGCGCACAAAAAGCAACTGTGCTCTTTGGGGCGGAAAAATGGCCTCGATATACAGATTGGAAAATATTTCAGACGGCGGACGATGAGTCTCACCTGTGTTGTGCCTCTTCTTTGTCGGCTTTGGCGCGGCATCTGTCTTTGTGGGCAGGGAGAGGCAGCGACAAAACATCCACCCAGGTGAGAGGAGCTGACTTGGACGAGGGCCCAGCAGACCTCTGCTTTACCAGTTTGTCTAGAAAAAAAACCCAACAGAAAAACAGCAACGTACAAGATGTAATCAATGTGTTACTATTATCGCCTCCCTGACCCTGAAGCAGAAACTGACGTCAAGTTGAAATGATGAATATGCTCAATTAAATATAAGCTTTTAAAAACCCCTCGTTCTCTCTGCCTATGAGTGCATGAAGGACGTTTCTCTTTGTTGCCCATTTTCTTTCCACATTCCTTAGTTACATTACAGTATATTTCCATTTCAATCGTACACATATACGGAGGCATGCCAGATTTATCTGTACAGCAGCTTTCAACACGGCACGTTCTTTAGATAGGACATGAGAAGGAATGTAAAGTAGATACCATATTTGTATTTATACTCCACTAAACAAAAGCACACAGGTGGGTGGACAAATCCTTGCTGTACAAATTTAAATGAATGAGACCTACATTTTGCCACAGTGATGCAAGTATTGCACCACAACTTCTTCTGGGGGAAGTCAGAAAAATTGTGTGTGAACATGAATCAAACACATTTTCAGTTGAAACCGTTTCCAGTTTTCTAAACTGCAGGCAACAAAGGCATCAATACGTTTATAGTCTAACTAAATAAGCTGAAACTGACTGCAGTCATTTTCCTTTTTAATTTGCCATCACATAGTAAATGCAATTTTACAACAAGACTGTCTCAGATTATTAAATATAGTTACATTTCTGACCTGTTTTATGAAAATAAAATGGATTACTCAGTGCAAAAGTATTAATACACAGTTATCTTAGTGTATCATGACTCCAAGAGAAGATCAGTGGTCATCATTCATTGCTATACTTGTGGTGATGGTTCCACCCGATCCAACCAAAGAACCTACCTTAAATCAACCAATTTAAAACTTAAGCTTGTGATATTCCGTCAAAAAGTATTTTATTCGACATGTCTCATTTGAAAGTTCTTCAAAAATTCATCGCGTCAACTAAACCGATTCTGTACAAGAGTAAAAAATGATGTTCTCCTAAGTGCGACTGACAAGCCATGAGTAGCTCAGCTGCAACCAACAGTCATGTGACAAAAATTCTGGTTGACCTGGGCTGAACTGCAGGCTGTGTTTACAGAGAGCAGAGAGAAGAAACAAATTAAAAATGTAGGGAATGAAATATCTATAATACATGGAGTCGATATTTTTTCCGGTTGGTAGCATCTGTGAGAAATAAATAACAAAAAAAAATTCAACTTTTGTTTCTGTTTTTGTTTTTTTATATGTTGCTGCACAGAAGCCATTTTTGAGTTCTCTTCACTTCTAGCTGCGGTTGTGCCGTTTCCAGAAAGATGCAGGACTTCATATTACAATGAAAAATGAGCCCATAATGAGCAAAAACAAACAAACAAAAAAGCTCTGAAACAAACAGCCTGAGGGTTTACAGGGTCACTGTAATGGATAACAACTTAATGATCAATCAGTAAAAGTGTTTTTTGTTGTTGTTGATTTTGTTTTTTTATGTAAAAATATTTGGAAATGTTGCATTAAAAATGTTATTTATGTGATCAGATTTACAGGAAGAAGAAGTATAATGTTGCAGTTTGGGCTGCAACATGAGCCCCACTTTTTAGTCTGCATTTTGGAAAATTAAACACTTTGAATTCACTATTAAATCAGGGATAGGCAGTTCTTTGGGGGCAGAAAATCCATATTAACCTCTCAGCTTATTGTAACCCAACTGGTCTGAGAAAAAACAGACTTCTACTCTGCACGTCTTCCTGGCTTTGTTTTTAGACTTGAAGGAGTCTAGCTGGAGATTTTAGCCAAATTTCAGGCCTTTTCACTGATTAGATAAGCTAGTATAAATAAGATCCACGGTGAGAGCAGGATGTGATGGTGCAATGGAACAGATGGAGGACTTTCACTTGGGAAGTTGAGGTTTGTATCCTGGGCAAAGCCACAAATGAATGTTGGCTTAAAGCGAGTGTTGGCTTGGAAGAAAGAAGGAGAGGGAAAAGCTTTTGATTTTTGCCTACTGTAGCTTTAACAGTTCCTTTTAGTCTGTTAGACTTAGATGTACTGACAATATCACTAGATGACTGAAGAAATCTTGAGCATCTTTAGTCAAGTTCTGAAGCATTTTCTTGAAACCCTGAGATGTAAAGTCCTATTTTTTTTTTACACAGCTTTCTTTTGTTTGTGAATGCAACGTGCTCCTACAGAAGTAGAAAAACTCCCACCGTTGCTTTTCTTGGTGTATTGGAGCTTTGCATACTCAGATCCAGAGTGCCCAGACTGGATGGTCCACTGGTCCAGGTCCTTCTCCAGACCCATTAGCCCGCTGTTGGCCAGAATCGGGTTGCTGCTATACGGGTCGGGACCCTGGTTGTAGGACGTGCTGGAGTAGGTGTCGTAATACGCCAGCAGGTCGTCCTCGGCGGTGGTGTTGATGGTGCTGTAGATGGGGCTGTCGTTGGACGCCGTGCTGCGCTTCTCCGTCTGGTTCGGGTAGTTGATGATGCCAACAGCTGAACAGCAAAGGACTGTGTTACATTAACAATGGTGTTCATCTATTCAGCAGGCTAACGGGGGTGTTACTGTGCCAAACATTCAAAGTTCAGAGAGCTCTTACAGTTATAATATCTCTCCGAGTCCAGTTTTCCGGAGCAGCAGTTGACTGAGTCCTTGCTGTGGGCGAGGTTCGGAGTGGGCCAGGAGTCAGCCAGCCAGGGGTAGTTGCCCATATTTGATCCCAACAAACCAGGTCTGAGAAGAGAGGTGAAACTTATCGATGCTGTTTCCTTAAAATACACAGTGGCACTTAAAATCTGAGTCAAATCACAACGCAGACTTTACCCTCCGTTGATGATCCCCGATCCTTCACTGTGAGCAAATCCAACTGCAAGAAAAGCAGCAGAAAAGATAGAGCATTTAAGCCTAAATACTTCTTTTTCCACTAAAGATTCACTGGAAGATAAACATGTTTTGGGTTGAATTATTATACTCCATTACCAAATAAACAGTTTATCCCACACGGGGTTTAAGAAAGCGGATCTGAATCGATATTTAATGCAGATGCACTGGTGACCTACATACACTGAGAGGTACACAAAAGATCCATATACAGTCTGCAATGCATTAAAATGCAGATGTCATTTCTCCACTGATGTATCTGGAGTCAAGGCCAGCTAGATTAACATGATAATAAAATCCATACTCAAGTGTGAAATCATACATACAACAGTCACTGTGAATTATTTATCGGTAAATCAAATTGCATATGTTTTTTTTTTTTTTTTCTAAAGGCCCGAGGCGGTCCATTGAACAAAATCCCTCTCAAAGTCAGCAAACAACTGATGTGTTTGTGATCTCATGTGCCAAAGGGCGTAAATCTAAAATTAACTGTATGTTGTGGTTACTTTTTAACGTATGCTTCAGTGTATTCCCGCCATGAAAACAACCCGGTGGGGATAAATACATTTTAATTAACTGAGCATGCGATTAAAGCGCAGGCGTCGCTTTGTGAAAATACAAACTAAAATTGAAAACATTCATCACTGTTAGAGATATCCCCCGAGGTCCATTAAGAACTTTGTCACTGTCAGTGGTTGAAAACAAAATCAGATGGTTTGCTCTCACAACTACAGAGGCCTTTTTTTTCTTCTTCCCTGTAACGTCTCTCTTATATAACAAGATGTGAGAACTGTCTGAAAAATCCTCCTGAGTCATTCTAACCTTTCCCACCTTTTACTCTTCTTGTCATCAGACGTAAAACCCTGTTAAGACAGACAAGTCGGAGCGTTTTCTTTCCCGCTCTCTCACCTGCTGGCGTGTAAGCGAAGGACGTGGTGTAGTGTCCCAGCTGCTTCCTCCTGCGGTGGCGGCAGTAAAGCCACCCGCTGAAGCCCATCAGCACCAACCAGGCGGCCACGCCCAGGCCTGCGATGAAGGCCGGCTGGCGGATGACATTTGCGATCTGCTCGGCGATGCTGAGGTCGCTGCTTTTCTTCACGGCCGTCGAGGTGTTGTCGAGTGGCAGAGCTGAAAGAGAAGCAATCAGCATCCTTTACTTGTCACATACAGTATGTGCAGTGAAATGCAAAGTGGCTGTTCTCAAGGCTGTGTAATAACAATGACACATTATAAAACACACAGTTCTATGAAAAGCAATAGAAAATTAAAAGAAATGTCATAAATAATAATGAGGTAGACATGTGAAACTAAAGTGCAGTACATTAAGTGTGATACATTAATGCAGCCATATGCTACAAGCAGCATCTTCACTGTGTAATAATGATGTTTCTGAGTGTGCCATGCCATGTAAATCATGAAAAAACAAACTAGTGACAGCTTAAATGAATAATTCAGCATTTGAGGGAACTCTGAGTCTGATAAGAGAAGTGACAACAGTATACAACACCACTGTCTGCAGCCGAGCAGCTTCACGTGTCATGTTCTGGACTGTTTTTTCCAGAGTCTACCTGGAGTCTTGTTACCCATCCAGCAAAGAAAACCACAACTTATCCTTTTTCTGCTTTTTCTTTTGCACTGATTGAACAAGATGTGTCAATTAGCGAGCATTGCTTTGGACCAGAACCAGGCTATTTGTTCCCCTCCTTGTTCCCTATCTTTATACTATAGTAAGCTGGTTTTGACATCTACACCTTCTCATCTAACTTTTCGCAAGAAAGCGAGCAACAGAAGTGTTCCAATTGCTTGAGTATTTCTATAAAAATGCACCCACAGTTAAAGTGAGAAGGAAAATATCTCAGAAAACACATGAAGCAACGCGTCTCCTCTGGGCTGCAACCTGTCTGGATAACTGGCTATGAAGCCGACGGGATGATAAAAGCAGAGGGAGAAAAAAAAACACTGCACATCCTCAGCCAGCAAAAGTTAACAGAGCTCAATAAATGCTAATCTACAGCATATAGCTCTAACAAACTTTTGATTTACACATTTTATGTTTTCACACTCAAAACACGGGCGTAGATGATGCATTAGGTTTAAACCCATTCACACATCACCGTCAACACATACAGATGTTTTGTTTTTTTTTACCTGCGGTAAACACAGGCAGCTCAGAGTGCATCTTGCCATATTTTTCAGCGTGTAGTAGCTCTAACAGTTTGAGTGACTCACTGAGAAGCAGGCTGACAGGCGGGCTTTGAGCGCCCACACCCAGGCTGGTGACAGCAGCCACCGCGATGGTGTAGCGGACGTCGGGCAGCAGGCCTGTCAGCAGGATGGACAGAACTGCTCCGTCCACCGTTCGGTTGATCTGGTTCTCCTGCTCCACGCCGCTGCCCAGACACCAGACCTGACGGACAACCAGAAGCACACGGTTAACGTTTGAAACTTTAAACACATCAAGCAGCGCTCCCGATGACAAGATGAGGCCTGTGATTAAGACAGATTCCAAAAAAAGCCTCGGTGCCTTTCATTTTCTTGACACAGACGCTTTATCCGGTTGTATGGAGCCGAGAATGACAGCAGAGATACGGCAGAGATGAAAGAGAATTGTGTGTCATTAAAAGCCAGATTTAAACTCTTGATGTTTCAAATGTATGTGCCTTTAGGCATCACAGCTCTGACTCTTTCATGAGAGTTCATGCATGTTAGATGAAGAAATGTTTAGATGAGGTAAAAACAGAAGCAGCAGCACAATGTTACAATGCTCTGATGGAGGTAAAAGTCCTGCTTTAAAATTATGCAGACCTCAGATTGACCCCATGAAAGTCAAGTAACTGTTCACTTAATGACAAAAGGTGACTTAATAGAAGTTTAAATTCAAAGCTTCACACAACTCTGAAGATGGTGGGTTTGAAAATCGTATTATTGTTTAAATAATCACCAAAATCACACCATTTGTCAGACCCAGAAATCCCTTTATTCTATATAAATTCTATTTTAAATATCTTGTGTTCCTCAGTACAATAGATAAACCATGACTGAGTGAGCTGCTACCAGGAGTCATGTGACTAACTCAGCTGAACTGCAGGCTGTGTTTATACAGAGAAGTATGGAATCAAATTGAACAAAAACGTAAATAGCAGAATATTTATTTTATAGCCCACAGGGACTAAAAACGTGACAGGAGCAAAAGAAAAAAAAACCCTCCAGAACCTGCTTGCATCTCAAAAGCCTAATTATCAGTCATTTTAAAAATCTTTCTTGATAAATAACTCAAAAGTTTCATTATAAACTGAAATAATTTGCTCAGCAACAGAATTTTGTATTCCATGTTTTAAAACTGTTCTCACTAATGTGGCCTAGCCATCATTAAAATACACAATATTAGTAAATGGTGAAACAAAAGGAGCCATCCACGTGAACATCATCAGCAAACTGACTCACTAATATTTGCATCTATCAACATTTTTGCACACATTTGCCACCAAAACTCCGCATTTTGTTCAGGAGGCAGAGAAGCTCTCCCCCTCAACCGTCTCATCGTTGTGCTGCTATAAGCCTCCTGAGGGACTTCCCATGATGCACTGAGCACCTCTCCTCTACTTTCTGCTCTTTTTCTCTCTCCATACATTTACATGCCACCGTTGCATGTCATTAACTTTGTGTCTTCTCTCTCCGGTATTTGTGCTTTTTTTTTTTCTTCCTGTCTGTCTTCTCTCTCTCTCTGGACCTTTCTGCAGGTATTTTCTTCCTCTGGAGGAGCTGCATATGTTTATGATGTGTGTTTATCAGCCCCGCCAACCTGCTCAGCGGTTATTGTTTCTCAAATTCTCATCCTCTCTCTTTCCTCTTGCCCCAGCCGATGGAGGCAGATGGCCAGTTGGAGGTTTCTTCCTGTTAAAAGGTACTTTTTCCTCCCTGCTGTCTTCAGGTGCTCATTCGGGAATTGCTGGGGTTATTTCTATAATAGTATAATATTGACCTCAGTATGAAAAACACCCTGATATGACTTACCTGATGATTTGGCTCAATATAAATACAACTGAACTGCATTAAAAAAAAACTGAATACCATACCTGAATGCATAAACTGAGCAAGAATGTGTTTTCCTGCTTCTGAATTTAACTTCAGGAGGAATGTGATATTTTCTCTTCGAAATAAACTCGCTAAATTGAAAGTAAATTTTATGTTGAGCCAAGAAATCAAAGCAATCATGCATAATGTTAAAGATGGAGCTCATTTAAACTGCTCGGATCTGATCTACGGCAATTGATATGTTATGAAAATGAACTTATTTTGCGTGTAAAATCTTTATCAGCTACGGAAACACAGTTCCCTTCCACATCTACATCCACTAAAGTGAGCAAACTTTTTTATTAATTAGCCCTTTGTGAAGTTTCTGTGATGAAGACACAGACAGACATAATGAAAATATGTCCCGTAATCCCGATTTACCGAGTCAATATTTCATTTTTCACTTTTAAGCGCTTCGGGGCTCGTGTCGGGTGTAGTTCTCAGAAAATGAAACATTTAAGGGGATTAAAAGTGATCCTTGCCTTCGGCTGTTGAGTTCAAAAGAATCTGGATTTTCAATGTCAGACTTGTGCGGTTTACTCCTAACTTTCTACGTGTGGACGCAGATGGTGAGAATAAATCAAAACAATGGAACTGCACGATCCATTTCAATGCTTTTTTTTTTTCCTTCTTCTTCTTCTCTGGAATAGCAGCCTGATGATTAGTAATCAGTGTTGTGCTCATGCTAAGAGACAGATAATCAGAACTCTGTTTTGTTTTTTTTTTCTTCCACAGAGCAAACAGATGACGGGGACAGTCAGCGTTCAGCCGAGAATCTGATGACAAACTGAGTCTCTTTTCGGCAAGTTCTGGCAGCACATAAGAGGCAATGAGTAATTAGCAATTGTTAATCAAAATCAGTGTTTTTCATAAACAGCGAGTCTGGACAACACTGAGTAATGCCTGCGTAGAAAATACAAACATCAAGGATTAAAAGAACAATTTGTTCCACTTTGTGCGTCGGTGACTGACGGTCTCAGAAAGTACAAATAAGCATCGGGAGTGAGCAGAGGACGGACAGTCGGCCGCGCTCTCACCTTGTACTCTCGGATGATGCCGCTCTGAGTGTTGTGAGGCGGCGGCTCCCAGGACACGCTGATGCTGGAGCTGTTGGTGAGCTGCACCACAGAAACAGCCTGCGGAGGAGCACTCAGAACTGTAGACAAACAGAAGAAGCAAAGAGATGTTTGGATAATTATTAATAGACACCAGCGTCGTGGTGATGCTCTGTTTACAGGTCTGCAATGTCTGAATAATGTCCAAGAAATTTTTTGGAATGAATTGATGTAATACATTTTGAGGGGGGGAACTGGAATTAAACTGAAAGAAAGGTTTCATTTAAATCAAAGAAAATATGCCTCCATTATTTATTCATGAGCACTGTTTAAAAGGAAGTGTACACATTTCATTAATGGGTATTTCTAAGACACTTTTAGTACATTAAAAAGAATCCATAAACATATATTACCTCTAATTTATGGTGTTATTCCAGCACCATTTATATTTGATTTAATTCAGCTCAGCTTGGATTTTATATATATATTTTTTAATCTAGTTTTCATTGTGTTTTTAAAGCCTTTTGTCTGCCTTATCTGAAGCACTTTGAACTGCTTTACCAATGAATTCCTTCACACTGATAATTGTTGCTATAGTAATAACATTTTCTTTTTTTGAAAGGGCTCTAATCCCTTGTTTATTGGTCATTTAAAGTTCTGCATTTCAGGAAATATGTTAATTCACTTCTTTAGTGTTAACTCCTACTTTAGCAGAAAGACTGGAAATAAGGGGGGAAACAACCAAACTAGCTCTATTTAAGGTTAAAAATAAATAAATCTGGTACCAGTGCTTTTACAACTAACTAACTAATGACGTGTTTGTGTAAAAGTTTGTTTTTCACTCTACACAAATGTTACAACACACAAATGTCACTTTCCAATGTGCGAGTCAACCAGCTGGAGCTTCATATTCATGAGACAAGAGTAGAATCTAATTTTTCTGACTCTCCTCCAAAGACTGAGATCATCTGACCAAAAAAGTCGACTTGATCATCACACTACCGACAAAGTTATCAGTTCCTTACCCTCCTCGGGGGTTCGCAGCAGGACCATGAGGCTGTCATGTCCTTGCAGCTCATTGAAGTAAGGCCGTATCTTCACCTCATACTCCGTATTGCTGTGCAGATCTACTAAGATGCTGCTGTAGTCGGACGTGGCCTCCACATCTTGGACCAACCAGGAGTTGCCGATCGTCCGGTAAAACACGCGGTAACCTTGAACATACCGGGACTGACGGGCGACCTGGGAAAAGTTGGCAAAAAACAAAACAACAAACAAATGAAACGCAGAGGCAGTGTGTCACATTTACATCAGTAATCAAAAGCAGAAATGCTGCATTTGTACTTCAAATTAATCTGCTCGTGAGCGTTTGAAGGTAATGTTTGGAGATTAGCATGTCCTCCGCGCGCTGCAAGCTGACTTTGAAAAGTAAGACTTTTTCATCTGCCAAGTATTGAACTCACAGTCCAAGAAATCCTGGCGCTGGTGGGAGACAGAACCACAGGCTTCTGCAGGTAGACGGACACCTCGCCCAGCTCCCTCTGCACCTGTCTGTGGTCCACGCCCTGTTCAGTGGGACTCCCATCTGAGACAACAAAAGAAATCCACTCAGCCCAGGCCCCAGTGTGAGGGGAAAAGAAGAAGAAAAAAAAAAAAACAGCTGACTAGCAGCTATTCAGCAAGAAAAGGAGAAAAAACTTTTTGATGAAATTCAACATAGCTCACGGCAGAAGAGCATCACACTGGGAAAGCAATTAGTTTTTGAGACTGCACACGCAAAGCAAGTTCTTCTAAACCATGTAGCGCATTATCTGTGCTGCAGTCTTTACATCCAGTATCTGTAATTTGCTTGTTTAAATATGGAAACTGAAATCAAGATTGAACAGTGGGGCTCAGAAAGTGAAAGTATAATCAAAAAGGGATGGGTTTATGTAACTCACCCTGCGTCCTGACAGGCTCGGAGATCGGACTGGGGTCGCTGAGGCCGTACGAGTTGACGGCTCGGACGATGAAGAGATAAACCGTGTTGGGGAAGAGTCCGACAACCGTGTGCCTCTCGTGCTTGACGTGGTCCGCCACCGTTTGCCACGTGCTCCCCACTGACTGGCTGCAGGACGAGAAATAAAACAAGATCTCAGTGTGACCGTGGTTTTTGGTAGGTTAGATCCATATCAGGAGGATGAAAACAACACTGATAATGAAGCGTACAGTCGGCAGACGGCCTATAATGTGTGTTTTGTGTTTTTTTAAACTCCTGTTATCTCTCATGTTATCTTGAGATAATGAGGTAATGGGTTTGATCACCAACTCTTGGCCTGCTGCTGATGGGCTGATAGCACAGATGAAAGCACAAGCATAAATCTGAATTTTTTACATATTTAGGCAATATTTCAACTCATTAAGTGCTGAAAAACACTTTTTTTGTTTTTCAAATGTCATGAGCAGGAGAAAACAGAGTGTGATATCTCAAGGCATGAGTTTAAATTAGCTGGAATAAGGGCTGTAAATGTGTCTCGCTTGTTTTTCTTGATTAAACTGTTATGACCCTGGGTTGTATTAGTTTTGATGTGGAAGATCTCTCTCTCCTCCCTTCAGTCTGTCTCTTTCATCCTGTAGATTTATTTGTTTGGCCATAAAACGGAACAAAATCCAAAAATGTTGGTGTCTGTGGGCTCAGTCTTTACTGCAATATAAAGTTCTACACCTCTTTAAATAAAAAAAACAGCACAATCATGACTAGAAGTAGAGAGAACTCAGAAATGTCGTTTGTGCAACATGACATTTATAATGCCTTAAATCAAAATGTTAAAAATAAAGATGTCAAAACCTGAAATCAGCATGTACAACATGTTTCCAAGTGCCCACAGATGTTACCAACACTGGAACAATAGAGACTTTATGTCTTATAGATAATTTACTTCCTATATTTTGATGTGTTTCTTCCCTCTGCTCAGTGCAAACACAGGCTGCAGCTCAACCAAACATTTTGAATTTTTGTCGTGTGACTTTTGGTTGCAGCTGAGTTACTCTGAATTACTATTTTACAGAATGTCTTTTGTTGTAAAGGTTTATATTCCAAATCTATAACAGTGGCTCTACATGCCAGAGATATTTTAGTCCCTACATTTTACTATCTTTCCATTCTTGTCTTGTATCTACTCTCTGTTCAAATAACCCTCGCATTTTTGTGATATGACTGTTTCTCACAGTTGAGTCAGTCATGGCTTCACAGTACAAGTAAGGAGCGCTGAAGTTTTTTTGTATTTTACAGAATCTGTTGGCAAATTTTCAAATGAGACATGGAATAAAGTGATTTTAATGAAATATCCCAATTTTAGGCTTGGAGTTGGTCAGTTTTCCTGCATGTTACACAGAGTTAGTTTAAGGGTCATCAGACAGTTGAACATTCATTTTCACAGCATCCGGCTCTGAGAAATGGCCTGATTTTAGCAATTTTTAAAAACGCCTTTCAAACCCACCGGCAAGACTGTTTTATCATGAAGAACCAGGTTTGGTCCACGGACCTCTATTTGCTCACTTCAGGACTACAGTGTCAGAAAATGCATGAACAGATTTACTCCAGCTGAAAACTTTCCAGATGTGAAAGAAAAAAGGCCTCAAATTGTAACCCACAATTTTGTCTTTTGATGCTTAATTTCACTAATTGCGGTATCAACTCACGGAACAATAACCAAAATGTTTTTCCGCCATTTAAACAAAACACATTTTTCGCAAAGTAATTGATCAAAATTTGTACCCAGCTTGAAAATGTGAAACTCCAATGATTTTTTACATTTATTGGCTCTGATAAATGGTGTTATTTGGCTGTTATTTAAAGAATAACATGCTTTTCAATCCCACCCGTGAGTTTTAAGGGTTAGAGGGTTCAAATATCCTAAACAGAAAAACAGCCATTAGAAAAGCTGAAAACAACATTTATTTATTTATTAGATTTCGTCCTGATAAATTACTTACTCACTAATTATTGTCTCTCAATTGACTATTCAGCTGACTGACTTGTTAGGAAACATGATGTAAAGTGAGTGAACAGCCAGTTAGCTTAGCATAACGTTAGCGGTAACCTCAACAACTCGCCAAATAACATGTTAGATCTCGTTTGTTTAATCAAGTTTGAAGGAAACGTGAAGAACAGGGTTGATTTCGGAGAACTCTTTTGTGCAGCTTCGACTAAATGATTAACCAGACAAATGAAAGATTTCACCAGTTGTTTCTCGTTTCTACGAGGTTTTGTTCGTCTGCAAACACGCTGCAAGTATGGGCTTGCTAATGCAGCTTTTTATTCAGTCTTTTATTGCAGCAGGTTACAACAACGGCCCCTGAACGAGCCCGCCGAGGATCCAGCAGCTTGATGCCGAGCAGGTTCGGGCACCATCTAACAGCGGGAGCACAGTTTAACATTTTCATCACCTTCACAGAGAACAAAATGGTGACACGGTTACACAGGCAGCTTTTCCCCCATCATCAGTGGCACCTCTTCTCTCCAGAGAAGCAAATTCTGCCATTTAAGTCGAGTCATACTGCCTTTTTTTGTTGTTTTTTTTTGGTCATAAAAAAACAAAAAAAAAAGAAAGAAAACTGCATCTGTGGGTGTAATATAAATACCATCAATCCGTCAAGATTTGTTCCCTTTTAAATCTGAAACATAAATGCAGGTGTTCGCTCTGCGTGGTACCAAAGAAGAAAGACTACAACTGCAACACTTCTGGGTTCGTATTTCTATCTTTGTTCCTTCTGATGCCTGAAAACAAACATTTCCAAGCAATTTCTTAGTGGTGGAGCGTGCAGCGGTGAGTGGATTTTCATCATCAGCTGTGTGTGCAAGTCGGCCACACTGAGCTTTCTTTGTACGCAGGGGAAAAACAAACACACAAAAAAAGCATGTATATGTGTGTGTTTGTCTCTGCACACTTGTTCTGTACCCTCGATGCTGCTTCTGTAATGAATCGCCTCTCCAACTCAGCGAGCATCCCCTCCTTGCATCGCCCCAGGACAGGACAGAGCTGCCAAGCTGACCACGGCAGTAATTGTCTCCTCTTTCACTCACTGTCTGCCTCCCAAATCCTCTGCTCGGTTTGTTAGAGCTGCCATGGTCCTCCTCGGGATGCCGCGGCTAAATACTGGTGCAGCAAGTGTCACAGTTTCGCTACTTGACGTCACTTAACAGAGCTGCTTCTCCCCCCAGGCAGAGATGAGTCATTTTCGAAACTCTAATGACTCTAAATGACGAGGACTTCATTATCTGGGAACAGTCGGTCAGATAGAGAGACCTTTATCAGGAGTGGAAAGTTAAGTGGTGGCTGTCTGCTGAACTTTAGCTCAGGGAGAAGCAGAATGAGGGTGAATGCCACATGAATTATACTAAAAGGAAGTCGAAATGTTGATATATTTTTTTTGCTACCAAGGCTGGCAAAGTAGCAAAACAGCAAACCAGAAAACATGACGTGGCAGAACGGAGGGATTTAAGAGAAATATTAAAGGGACCTTTCACCGATTTCACATAGTCTGTTAGCACCACATAGCCGATGAAAATCAGTGTCCTGTGGTGCTGAATGACTTTTATTATGTCCTACAGAATCATAGAATCTTCTGAAGCTTGATGTAAACAAGTCAGGATGTAGATTTTTGCATTTCTAAAATGGGCATTTGGCCTCTGTTCCATTGATTTGAACCATTCTGTAACCCTCTGAACCTCAAGCAATGTTTATTTACCATGGGCTCTTTTATTTATTTTTTACTGCACCTCTATGGAAACAGCATAGCCACAGCTGGAGGTAGAGGGAACTCAAACATGTCTTTTTTTTACAGTTTTACATCATTATCGTACAATTATATATAAAAAAAATAAATAAATAAGAAGAAGAACGAAAAAGAGAAAAAATATTTGTTTACATACTTTTTTTTTTTTTAAACCCTGCAATCAACTTTCCCAACATTGATCCACGTGCCCTCAGGTGTTACCGGTATTGGAAAAATCAATGTGGGCTCCACATGCTATAGATATTTTAGTATTTACATTTTTTATTTATTTCCATACTTGTCTTTAAGCCCGTCTGCATCAACAACAGCCTGCAGTTCAGACCATAAAGTCCCTGAATTTTTGTCGATTTTTCAGTGTCAGTCACCGTTTAGTCAGTCGTAGTATCGATGAGCGCAGAATGTTTTGTTTTTACAGGATCTCGTGTACACAGTTGGTGAATTTTTACACGAACCATTTAGAATAAAGTGATGAAATATCTCAATTTTAAGTTTAGGTTTGTGTAATGTTCCTGACAGACCTGCACGTCACATATAAATAGTTTGAGGACTGTTGGAAAATATGTAGTTTGTTCTGTTTTCAGAGTTTTTGACCCTCTAAAATGGTTTGTTCTGGTGATATTTAAAAACAAAAAAAGAACATGTCTTTCAAAATCCTTGTCTGGCTGCTGAAGGGCCAGATTTGGTTCATAAAACTCTATTTGTCTCTCAAGGCTTAATTTCAGTAATGGTAAAAACAAACAAAGCACATTTATTTGCCAAGCAGTTCATCAAAATTCCTGCCTGTCCTGCATTGTCTGTGATCTGGAAGAAGATGGAGCACAACGTTTAGATGATACAGACCTGAATTCATGCCAGTCTGTGGGTAATTACTGTATACATGCTGTGCAACGTGTTTCTACTTGGACAAGTTTCTGCAAATTGACAAATAAAGTTTCTCAGATTGCTAAATTAGTGATGTATTCTTTCAACGATCATTAAAAATGTACCTGAAGGCCTCGATGATGTAGGAGGTGACAGCGGCACCGCCTTCGTGTGGGTTGGACTGCCAGGTGAGCGTGACGGTGTTTTTGGTCACCTCCGTCACCACGGGCTTCTGCGGAGGTCCTGGAAGCTGGATGAACTCGGAAACTCTGGATACCGAAGAAGCTCCGTCTTCTATTAGAGAAACAAGAAGACGGCGCCATCGGCCCGCGTCGACAGATTGATTCTGATCAAGAGTTTGTGGCTGAAACTGGAGTGGATTTGATCGTGTTCAGGCTGCAGACTGCGTGTGTGTGCGTGCAGAGTGTGTAGCTTCTCGAGGTGTAGCGTGACAGTGACAGAGTGTGAAGTGTAACAGAAAGACAGAGTGCAGCGAGTTTTGGTCTAAGTACCTCTGACAGTCAACATCCCACTCCAGCTCGACTCCCCTGTGGTGCTGGAAACCACACACGTGTACATCCCCGAGTCCGTGTCCTGTTAAACAGCAGTCAGCATTTGAGACAGGCATCAGGAAAAGAGAAGGTAAGAGAATAAATGCTGCGAGGGCTTTTCTGTTTGAAGGACATTTTGGATCCGAGAGAATGAACAGATGACAAATGTTGGTAGCAAGAATCATCTTTTTACTTATGAGGCTCTCAATCCGACAGGCAGAGGTGGAACGCAACAAAGTACATTTATTTTAAGTGCTGCCATTTTGAGGTAGTTCTTCTTCTACTCCGCTAAATTTATCTGACATGCAGATGTAGCATAATGTTAAATTAATAATCGTAAAGTTTCTCACCTCCAAATAATTTCCTAAGAAGTTTTAAATGAAGAAATTACCTCTAATAACACAAACATCCTTGTTGGATCTGCTCCATTTAAACCCAGGTAGTCATGATTTCTCATATAATTACTGTTTCCTAATGTTACAGCCCTTTAGTAAGTGTACTCACTGAGCTTTGTGTTTACATACGTAGTTGTTGGAAGTATTTAGAGAAATGATTTATGAAATGAAAGACAACATTTTGGAACACAGACGAAGCAGAAGCGAGCCGTAAACAACCCCGACGCATTGCGACCTCGTAAAGTTGATATGGCAAACTTGTAAGCAAACACATTCCTATTTTAATCATCCGGACGTTATGGAGCAAATCATCAATTACTGGGAATCATCTGCTGTTTGAGGCTCTTTCTCTGATAACAGCTGCCTGATGCGTGATGGGAGCAGCCAGAGTCAACTAAAACACTAAAAACTGCAGACCATAAAAACTAATTAATGAGCTGAGAGACAGAAAAAAAAAAAAAAACTCAGCAAAAACTGCGGGCAACTGCGGAGCTGTGTGATCATTTTTAGCTGGGTTTTCTCCGTTTGATTCATTGTCGATATAAATACTCAGATCATAGCCGCTTTATGTAAAGAATCCAAGTACTTTTTCAACTGTGGCGACTCTAAATGCAATTCACGCACACTTAAACACTCCCCCCGTTCGGAAACGATCACCTCAGCGGCTCTTAAAGCTTCGCTGCTGCAAACAATGAGGCAGCGCACCGTTCCTCTCCTCCTGTTTATGAATTGTACACGCCTGCATGCTTCAGTGATACTGGCAGCCCTGTCCTGGCTCAGATCCAGTCTGCTGGAACTATCATCGGACCATATGAGATCACCCACCGCAGTGTTGACCTCTGGCTGACAGACAGCGCAGCATGTGGGCAGGTGAACTTCTTTAGATGACTCCAGCTACAGCTAAAATATTGATGGCGGGCAGGGGCATCAGGAGGGTAAATATTTTTAGTCCGTCACTCGTCATCTCCATTTCCCCTCTTTTTTTTTTTCTTTGTCAACCCCTTGATGCCACACTAATGCATCTCTTCTGTTCCATTGAGCACATTGGCATGGCAGATTTCCCTCGCCTCAGCGGTGCACTGGACCAAATCTTAATGCTCCAAGTTTTTGCCGAGCACCACTGCTGAGAAACAGGATGAGGGAGGAAGTGAACAGTCCGGCCAGGAGATTTAATTAAAAGCCGGTCAGATGATTAATCATCTATCACCGGTCAAATAACGAAAATGATGCTCCTGTTTTGTTTTGTTGGTTTTTTTTTTGTTTTTTTCTTTTTGCTCCGTCCTGCCAGCGCTCGCTGACCTCCAGGTGGGGTTACAGCACAAAGGGTCTTCCGACTGCTCCTCCATCAAAAGCAGAGCACATTAGCATTTACAAACAAGCACCTTCATTAACATTACAATTACACACCGCATGAGCACATAATTGCGCTGGAGAGATACGCGCTGCCTCGGAGAGATTGGTCTTTGAAACGCGGTCTCACATTAATTTTACAAACGAAAATGGAATTTCTGATGGAAATGAGAGAAAGAATACGCTACGACGTGGGCTGCCGAGAAGGTGACGGAAGGTCAGGGATCACACGAGGACAGTTATCAGTCAGGGTTTTCTTCTTTTTAACCTTTTAAAACGCATCTTTTAATGTCTTCCCACCCACCCAACCACGCAGACACACACCTTTACGTCTGTGATTTGCAACGTGCCGTTCTCCATCAAGGTCAGTCGGGGTTTATTTCCTTGAATTGTGTCTCCGTCCTTCTCCCAAGAAATCTTGACTGAGGTGCCTCCAATTACGCGGCAATGCAGCTGTGCCGTCGCACCCCGAGACACCGTCTGATTGGCCGGGCCCTGGCGAATGATAGGCGGGACGCGACCCGAAGGACCTAACAGTTTGAGAGGAGAGGAAGCAAGGATGTTCTGTTAGAGTGGGTCATCTTTATTCTAATTAGCTATACGGTGGAGAAAAGTGGAGGGAAGAAAAAAACCTACTTGGAAGGCGCACAAAAAGCCTGCAGAAAATACGGCTCTAAAGTTGCCAGCCGTTAGAGTGCAAAGGGTAAAAATACTTGAGATGCTTAGCAGGCAGAAAACAATAGGCTGCATAAAGAGCAAAAAAAAAAAAAAAGAAGCTTAAATCTGGTGCTTACAAGCCGCCCGAGGATGAATATTAAGCCTTAAATTCATTGCTCATCCAGCATGAGGTCTCTAACTGTGCACTTTCTCCGTCTTTATGAGCCTCATTGTTGTGCACCTACTAAGTAATTAATGTTTCCCCCTCATTAGCTGATGGTACAGAATAAATAATAAAACCTCTCCCAGGCTTTAAACGTGACTGCGCGGATTGAAGCCTTACCTCCTTCCACCTCCAGCAGCGCCTTGGTCAGCACGCTTCCCGCCACGCTGATGGCCTGACAGATGTAGAAGCCGGAGTCCTCTGGGTGGACGTCGGTGATGGTCAGCTCTCCGCTCATGGAGACGGAGTAGCGGCCGGACTGAGACGGCGGCTGGCCGGGAAACAGCAGCATCTAAACACAACAAAGCAGGAAGTTTATATCCTAAATCCTACTTATTATTCAGGTGATTTTTGTTAAAAGGCTTTAAAAGGAGAACATAAGAGCAGGAAATGTTGTGTTGCACTTTTCAGCCTTCAAATGATCCAAAACACAAAGAAATTCAAATTGCACTAAAAAAAAAAAGCTAATGGATGCAACAAACTTTGGAGATTTTTAAACATTTGGTTCAGATATTCATGTCAAAGCGGGAAGAATTATTTCAACTTTCATGAACCTCTCAATTCTCATCGCCCACCACCATGGGGTCAAATTTTCAGTTTGTCCAGCTCTTTCATTTAGGATCAAATACATGCAAAACAAATGGCTTTCCCATCGCCCCCAGCTGTACTCGCCAAAAAATGTGCCAATTAAGCAAATGTAGCATGCTAACACGCTAACCTGACATGGTTAAAAACATTTCACTCGCTAAGGTTTCTCATTGCCACCAGTCTTTGATCGCTATTGTTGATTCACAATAAGTTGAACAATTAATAATTGGTTTACATTGTTAACTAAGTCCTGATCTACTAATCAGTTTACCCTCTTATTTCGTAGCAGTTTCTCGTTCCTGCACTTCTATGGAAATGGTATAATAATGGCTAGAAATTCAGACATCTCAAACATGTCTTTGCTGCAGAAAAGTTCTAATGCCATAAGTACTTTAAAAAAAATAAAGGAAAAAAGAAAAGAAAAAAAAAAGTACATGGAACAACATGTAAAATGTTTTCCAAGTGTCTGTATGTGTTACCAATAATGGAAAAAGTAATGGTGACTCTACATTCTACAGATATTTAACCCTGTAAAGCCTGAATCATGAAATAACTACCAGAAAAATTTTTTTGTTGTTGTTTATTTGAGTGTTTATTGAACCTTTTGACAAATTTTAAAATAAATTTAAATAGCAATTTTTCAGCAAAAATGATACAAGTTCTCATTTGCACCATTTTTGCTACATCCGGCGTTTTTGGTGCATGAATTACAATCTATGGTGGATTGTGTGTGCACTGAATGTGTCTGATTGCATACATCAGGTTTTCCAAAAAAATACAGAGGTCTCAAAAACTCACGTGTCACATATCATACGCGTGGCCTTTTCAGTGTTAACTACTTACGTTTTAAAGTTTTTTCCATACTTGTTTCCTATTTGCTTTGTACACAACCTGCAGTTCAACCCAGTTCAGCTGAATTGTCCCAGAATTTTTGCTATGAGACCGTTACAGTCTCAGCTATGTGAATCGTGACATGTAAAAAAAAATGCGATTTTCATTAAATATCACAAATGTAGGTTTAGATTTGGTGATTCTCTTTCACACATTCATAGTTAGTTCAAGCATCATCAGAACCTTCTATCAGTGTTTCCAGTTTCTGGCTCTGATAAACGGTGTAATATTGGCAGTGTTTTTTTTGTTTTGTTTTTTTTAAACGTAACATGCTTTTCAAACCCTCCGGTGGATTTGGAGTTTCAAAGGGTCAGTTTTGATCTCTTCATTGATTAACTGACTACTTGTTGCAGCTACATGACCCTTCACTTCACATGTTTACATACAAATCCGTTGTGCAACTCCAACCGCAAACTTCAAAATAAGAAAGGTAAGAACTGGAAAAGATTGTGTTGTTTTGGTGGGGATGATATCCACGACCAGACGTTTCATGGTTGCTCCATCCTGTTTTTCTGTAAGTGAGATGGATGTGAACAAGGGGGAAGGGATGCATCAATCCATTCAGTCATCCATTTCATTCCTCTAAGAGGCTTAGACTTCAGTGGAGGGACCAAGGTTATAAGGCTACAGATAATCCCCCAAATACAGCAAAAAGCTCCACAAACAGCCAAGCCATGCCTCAACCATCCTGCAGACCCAAGCTTATTCACAAAATCTGCAGCCCAACCTCCCGTTTGCTCCCCGACAACCTTCTGAAAAGATCTGAAGCTTCTCCTCAGAGAAGTCTGTGATCCCAACTTCTGTTGAGCAACACGGTATTTATAGTTGGGGATGAAAAGTGGAAGGAGGGCAGTGTTTGTCTGCAGGGTTTGCCCTGAAGAAGCAGTTTCCACACCTGGTGTACTTCCTGCAAGCCCTCCTTTCTTTCTATTCTACTTTTTCATCTCTCCCCACCTCTCACCATCCGTGCACTGCGGCCACGAAACAGGAGAAAACATTTCTCACCAACGCACTATCTTCCAACACTTTGTCGGTACTCATATCTCTGAGCCAAATGCAAATGCGCTGCACTCTCTCGTTCGCCTGCCGCCTATTTCGCCTGGAAAAAATGTGTCTTGACGAGTGTAGGCAACCAAAACAAAAAAAAAAATCAAAACATAAAAATAAAAAAAAGGTGTTAGAAAAAGTATGATTAAATTTGACAAAACCTGCTCATGTTGCGGTGAGTCATTCTCGCCTTTAAAACAACGGAGGTGTGAAACTACGCTTATTGATATGATAAATAATACAGCATCGGTGAAAGTTTTTTAAAGAATCCACACATAATTAACAAGCTGAGATTTGTTAGGGAGCAAATGTATTCGTGTTCACTCATTACTGCGACAAACGAGCAGGAATTCAGTGTTCACTTTGAGGACGTCTCGTGCTCTGCCTCCTACCTGGCTGCCCTCTTTCTGCCAGAAGATGGCAGGTGGAGGGTTTCCTGTGGTGCCGCATTGGAAGGTGATGCTCCTCCCCTGGGTGGCGATCTGGTCTCGGGGCTTCGTGGCGATCTGGGGTGGAACTGGAGGACGGAAAAAGGACAGTGACCACATAATAAAAATTCTATGTTTCCTGATGTTTTAATTAACCCCACTACACTGAGCTACTGTATTTTGCTGCGATTCCGAAACCATTTTAAGATGCCAGCTCTGCAGCAACAATAGTTCCTCGCTTTGCATAAGAGCGCGCACACACAGCGAAAGGTCGTCTGTAGTTTACTTGCTGATTCACTTTGTGCTGCACACTATTTTCAACAAACCGAATGCTTTTAGTCTTCTTCAGTAAAGATGGAGATGATTTTTTACTGGTTTAAATAAAACACAACAATCCAAAAATACAACTTGAGCAAAGCAACAACAGTATTACCAACTATGTAACTCCAGCTCCTTCTGCAGGGGGGACAACTGAAACATCTTGACATTTGAAAAATAATATTAATGTCATTTACAATATGACTTTTCTCAATAGTTACTGCAATATCAGTATTATGTGCAATATTTCCTTATGATCATGTACAGTATGTCAGTGTAATGTGTAATGCCTCAATTCCATGCGCAATATGTCAACCTCAACACATATTTCATTTTCATGTTTAAAATCTCTATTTAAATGATCTTTAAATTGCATGTGCAATATTTTTTTCATGGTATGTAATACTTCAGGTGCCATTTTTCTTATTTTTCAGGTGCAATATTTCTTTATCATGCTCCAGCTCCCCTGTGACCCTAGTGAGGATTAAGCGGTGTATAGATAATGGATGGATGGATGTGTAATATTTCAATATCATAGTTAATATTAATTTTCTACCTAAGAATCACTGCCAGTATGACTTCTTATTTTCTATCATATAGTCTTATTTGAGCTCACTTGTTTCTATTTTCTGTAACGTACCATATTTATATCTTATTGATTTTCTATTAGCCACGACATTGATTCTCATGTTATGTAATTGGGTTTTAAAAGCAATACCTGGCACAATTTTCTTGGGGATTAATAAAGTTCTATCTTATCTTATCTTATCTTATCTTATCTTATCTTATCTTATCTTATCTTTTGCAAAATATACTTAGAGTTTCATAAGCAAAAGTTCTTTTTCTGCAGAGAAACGCCTCCTATGAGTGACATATTGTGATCTATGACGTTGCTAAATCGTTGTAGAGATGCACCAGCTTGGTCCGGCCCTTTGGAGGGGCGAGACCTCACAAATCTGCACCGTCATCAGATGATTAATGTGGCTCTCAGAGGAGAATTCAGAACAGCTCACATGAAGCTGCTGGATAAATGTAGTGAAGTGAAAAGTGTATTTGATGGAGCAGAGGCATAAAATGCCGCAACATGGAAATACGAAGGTAAAGTACAGTAGAGATCCTGGATAAATGTATTTAGTTACCTTCCACCACCTGCCGTTAACCCTAATTTTGATCGATACAGGACTCATTAGCAAGCGAGATTTAAGAGTTGCCACTTTAACCTTCTGGGCTTTTTGATGTATCGCTACGCTCTCATCGTCCTCTCATCTTTAATGAGAGAAATCACCTCCATGTCCTCTGAAGAAGAAGAAAAAAAAAAGAAAAAACACACAGAGCCCATCATGGCACAAGCCAGCACCGTCCAGATGACATTTACTCAGTTATTTTGGGAAAAGGTCTAAGCAAGAGCTGCCAATTTCCAGCTCAGGTCAGATCACTGTGTTATCCACATCATCACATCCTCTGGAGATTTACACTGACCACTGGCTTCCACCTCCAGCCTGAATAATTGGCTCTCACTTCCCGCCAAATGAGAAGCTTCTATAGCCTCGACTCATCCTTTCTACAAATCCTCTCTGCGCAGCGAAAACATGCACTACACACACAGAGAGAGAAAAGCACGCAAACGCACATTTGGCTCGATACACGAGGGAGCTGAGTCATCTGTGTCGTGTCTTAATATTCGCACTGAGAGCATGTTCCAGCCACAGAAGACATCACACAGTTTCATCAACATCAAAGTGTTGCCGTGATGTTTTTGTGAAATTCCCCTTGTCTTCAGATGCTATAAATCCTTTAAACAAATCTGAGGTGTTAGTCACATAGAGGATTAGATTTATCTCATTTATTTGGTGTTTTTCAGCTCCCAGAATGTCATCAAGGTGTCACTTTAGGCTGTTTCCAGGATGAAATCTTTTTATGTGACAATTACCGGCAGTTTTGTTTAGTGATTTATGAATTTGCGATAGATTTTTGACATATTTTAGTTATCTGCTTAATGCTGTTAGTGTAGTTGGTAGTTAGAAGTGTGGCAGCTGGTGTAAAATATCCTGTCTGGGAGAGAGGATATTTTTATTGCGGTATGGGGACTTGGCTTTCTTTCCCAATTAGAGAATTGTTGATAAAAAAAAAATGGTGCCAACAGTGGGAAGGATTATCACTCTCGGCGGACGTTACTGCTTATCTCTTGTTTTTTGGACATTATCTGATCAGACCTGTGTTTGAATACTCCATCTGAGTGGATGCGTGCTTTCTCTTGGATAATGAGGACTATTTTCTGGACAGAATGTGTTCATGTTTTGCCTTTGTAGAAGAGCATAACAGTAACTTGCTGTTATCATTTTCTAGTTCAGCCACAACACTCTTGAAAAATTGATTTTTTTCTCTCTCTCTATGTCAGATAAGTTTTTCTTGTTAGAGAAATATATGACTATCTTTTCAACATTGTACAAGTAGAACCAACAAGAAAGACACTACTAGTACAACAACTACTGCTACAACAACAACAACAACAACAACAACAACTGCTATACAGCTACATCTATAACTTTGAGGGTCATTCCTCCTCTTCTGCTTTTCTTGTTTGTGCTACTTCTAATGTTTGATGTTTACTTCAAATTCCTATTTTACTCTCTGCTATCATCTTTTCTGTGTATGTTCGTCTCTTATATTAAGTTTTTATCTCTATGTTTGAGTAATATCTGCAATTCCACACTGTAAAACCTCATAAAGGAGTCTAATCAGCTCCTCTTTTCTCATTTAGCAGCTGAGAATTCACAACATTCAATAAATTAAGTTTATAAGAAACAAAGCTGACATGTACGCAGAATGCCCAAGATGCTTGTTACACAGTTAAAACTCCCTGGAGACTCTTTCTGATGTTCTTTTGTGTGTGTTTTTAAATCTTGTTGCATTAAGTCGGGCTTGTTTCTTTTCATAATTCAATAACTATAAAACTATTCTAAGCATGACAGAGATTAAATTCAGCCCTACATCTGTAGACTTATAATTCATCTTACTGTTACCAAAAGCAGCTTCACAGATTGTCTTTGTACGGACTCTGGTCACAAATGGCTGTAAGAGGTGAGGATATTATTTCTTAATGTTGAACGAAGAGGAAAGTCTTTAAACGTAGAATATTTCAAAGGGAGGAAAGTCTGTCTGTAACACTGTCTATGTGACTATTTGATTCAACTTAATATCTTAAGTTTACTGAACTGGTTTTCTCAAGTCCACTTAAGTGAACTCGGATAGTTTTACGATGACTTCAGCTCACATATGCTGAATGAATTTAAACTAAAAATTATTTACAAAAGGTTTCGAAAGGCACCACACATGAAGTTTATTTACTAACTTATGATGCTCTGTAGGAGCTTTATCTGAGAAAACAACCCTGATTATATCATGGCGATGTCAGTTAATCTGACCTGATGAAGCTGTTTACCATTCATGGGTGGAAGAGTGGCATTATGGGAAATGTAGGATCCATTGTTTTGGAGTTGTTGAAAACTACAGCCTTTCCTGCATCATTTTTTTCCCTTTCAGTCCCTTAAAGGCTGGAATGCCCCTTTAATAACAAACCTATGTTTCATTATGTAAAAGCACATGTTCACGTGAATGAAAACGGCTCCAGTAACAGCAGTAATCAATACAAGAATATAGTTTCTGGTTAAATGGTCTGTAATGTAACATGAGGTCCAATCACATTCTTATTTACGAAGATTTCACTTTAGTTCTAATTAAAAGTCTATCAGCCGCATTTTGAACGAGTGTAGCTGCAAATGAGAGAAGGATTTACATCGCGCCCCATTATCCTGACACACTCCTCAATACAGCAGATGTGTGTTTGATGGGAGTCCTTAATCTGATGTACATTAAGTCAGTGTGTCTGAGGCTTACTTAATGCCTCACTGCAGCAACAGGCGTGCTGTCAACATGTCAGAATCTAATGGAGGAACTTACTTACACCATTAGGCATTGATTGTTGCTTTTAGAAACCATTAACAATATCGTACAGAAAACAGCAATTTTTTTTTTTCCTCAATAAATGAGGAACACAAATGCCTTTTTTATTATTTTTTTTTTAAAGAAAAGAATTAGATGGAAAGTGAACTTACAGAACGGGCCAACTGGAATGATGATAGGGTTTGAAACATGATGGAGAGAGATGGAAAATTAATGAGATGGATGAAACGCTGAGCTACTAAAAAAGCGAGAAGGAAAAAAAAAGAAAAGCTGGGGGGGAAAAAAAGAGAGAAAAGAGTGAATAGAAAACTGGTTCGGTTTGGATTTCATTTACTCTGATAAAAGCATTAGTGGATAAAGTCGTCTGAGACTATTTAAACCAAGACACAGAAAGAATGAAAAAAAAAATGGGCACAGAGGAAGAGAGGCGAAGGGAGGAGGGAGATAAAGAGACAGGAAGAGAGAGGAAAAGTCATGTCTTATTAATACTGGGACTGCTCTCTGGCAGTGAGTTAAAGCACACATCTACCAAACATCTGTCAAATGGCGTAATCCATACGGTTTAGCATAAGCTCCTGGCGGCACCGCTGGAAAGGGACTCACAAAGATGCACTGATACAAAAAACAGACCGAGCTTTGGACATGAAGTGGAAGCAGGCTTTTGTATGATTCTGCTGCCATGTGACTTTGAGCTACCTTATGCATGAACATGGCTTTTGGACTGAGAGCTTTCTTTTTATGCATGCCAAAGTATGTGTGTGCTCCTATACAATATGCATGATGTGTTTCTTACCGTGGACCTGCAACATGGCCGAGGCCTCTGTCTTGCCCACACTGTTCTCAGATGTGCAGGTATAGGTCCCTTCATCCTGCTCTTTCACGCGGAACAAACGGAGGCTGTTGCCGTTGCGGATTTCAAACCTGGGAATGACAAAACAGAGATAATGAAAGATCTAACAGGGAAGCGTAGCAAAAAAAAAAATCACCGTGCTAATCTGCACAAAGTGGGGGGAAAAAAAGGGCTGCCAGTGGTACAAGATAATGTCATTCCTTTCCTTGTCAATCAACCTGCACAGGGTTTGTTTTTTACAATCAGGTGGCATTATCTTGAAACAAGGGGAACAATGCACCTAATCTGTCTTAGATACTGTCACGGGCTCCAGGAAAATTCTTGAAACAGTTGAAAATCAATTAGAAACAAGCAAGATTATGTTAGCACAATGAAGGATTTTTCACTTGTTACTCGGGGAAAATAACTGCATTTTATCTCGCAGTAGATTAAACGTGAAGTTAAGATGGACTTTGTAGAGCAGAGTTATTTAAATTACCAAACACTACAGACAAAATGTAAAAAGAAATAAAAAAAAGTCTGCTGCCTTTGTCCAGGTAAGGCATAGAGTGAGTTAAATCGGTTTAATTCACTTTGATTCATGGTGTCGTTCAGTAAGCCACAGAAGAAAGAGACAGAAGAAACACTAGATTAAAGATAAGTCAGAGATGAAAGACAGAAAAGCTCTTTCCAAACATGAAAAACAATAAGTGCATGAAATTTTCATCATTACAATAACCTGTTCTCAAAGTAAACAAACTCCTACACTGCAGTCAACAGGACTTTGCTTTGCTCGATATTTTGTGCAGGTTTTGTCAAGACATTTATAAGTAAGGGTTCTAATTAATCTTACAAGTCTGTGGCTGCAGCACTGTATAATTTCACTACCAAGACTAATATCTGTATACAAGGTTTCTCTAGCGATCACTAAGTTTAAGGTAGATTATTTTAAAACTACATTTCATAGTCATGTCAGCCAAAGTATTGATGATACAATTTGAGTATCACATCCTGTTCATAATTCCCATCTATATATATCAGTTAAATACAAATTTAATCAGATAATTAAAGGTCCACATTCACACACCACTGATAGACGAAGCTGACATATTGCTGTATATTCTACATAAGGTCAGAAGCCAACAAAATGTGCTTTTTAAACCACCTTGCCAGTGTTGATTAATTAAATTACACCAGATTCAGGTTTTTCCCTCATGTAGCCTTTATGCTAAGCTAACACACCCAGTTAGCAGCTGCTATCTCAAACCAACAAATTTAGCATACAGACCTGAGAGTGTTTTCAATCTACTCATCTAACTCTCAACAAGAAAGTCTGTGCGGAAACTGTGAAGCCAATGCCGACCAGCTTAGCGTAAAGACAAATAACAGCTGGCGGAGCTCGGTCCAAATTTAATTAACACGATCTCGTTAGCCGAAAATAAAGTAAAACAGCATTTTTCATCTACATAATTCTTGTCTGCACTGCACAAGCCATTAGTTCTGTGCATTAAGTTTGATATAATTTTGTAAACTGGAAAAATGTAATTATTTAATAGGCTTAGCTTAATGTGACTTGTAATAATAATATAGAAAAAAAAAAGGACGAGGCTGGTCACAGGAGGATGGTGCCTGCTAATGAATCCTCTTTCCGGTTATGTGTTTTTATTCGCAGACTGATAAAAAAAAGACATGAATTAATGAACACTTCCTCCACATATGTTTTCTGGGTCACATGTGCTAATAACCCAAGACAAGACTGGCAAAGGCTGAATTCCTGATTCAGCCTGTATGTGCGTCACCAGTCTGTCTCTCTATTGGTCGGGGCTCGCATCCATCACTCTCACCTCCCGCGGGGAAGCTCTCCTTCCTCTCGCCTCCACCGCACAGTCGGGGGCGGATCCCCGTGCACCTCGCACAGGAAGTCGACGGTCTCTTCCTCCATGACCACCTGGTTCACCGGCCGTCGCACCAGCACCGGGCGCTCTGCGGTAGGAGACGAGGCCCTTTGTTTAAACACTTCATTGCTGCTCGAAGGATTTCACTGCATAAATAATCCGGAGCTCACCGTACACCACCAGCTCTGCAGGATCGCTGTCCCTCTCTCCAACCATATTAGTGCCCACACAAACGTACATGCCAGCATCGCTCTTCCTGGTGTGAGAGATCATCAGTTTGCCCCCACGCATCTGAAAAACAACACAGTGACAGCTCCAGAGATTAGTCTTCAGCGTCTCCTGATTAAAGACAGCAGATAGATGCAACTCAAGGCTATCACCTCAGCCTTTAATGGAAAAATCCATTTTCCGAATGCTCGCACTGGTATGAATCATTAAAGCTTCATAGGCAAAGTCACTGTAGTATACTTCTGTGTACTGGTGGGATGCTCTCATGTACTTATACTTGATATTTTTACTACATGTTGTTATGATACATTTTTTACTTGACATCTGTTTTTAACCCAGGATTTCTACTTGCAATAGACGATTTTTACAGTTACGATTCTGCCACTGCTGCTTTTAACAGCGATATAAACAATATCCTTTATCATATTTATGAAAATACCTTTTAACTACAAGAAATTGCATCCAACTGTTGGTTTTACACACATGAGAGAACATGACAAAAGCGACGGAGACATTTTCCGGTCCAAAGCATACCAAGGTAAATGATGGCTATTAGAACTATTGTCAGTCTAAATGAGTGCCTATTCTACTCGTACATTCAATTTCTCCTTTACTGTTAAGTATGGGAACATTTATAAATCCTAAAGGACAGAAACAGAAAACCAGAGTCTTTCCATTAAGGCTTACATTTAGTTTCAGACATGTCCAAATCATTTTTTATTTCAGCTTTTGTTTGGCCACAAAAATAAAAAACAATACTGTGCATTTATTTTACTGACAGATAACAGACTTTCTAAAAAATGAGTCCATGTCTGGATACTTTCTTATTTCTCAAACCTCTTTTGATGCTGATATAAAGAAGAGAATCTTAGAAAACTAGCTGTGAATACATAGTAGAAAAAGAAGAAAAAACTCAAATAGGAGCAATCCATGGATTTGGACTAATTTAAGTCTTGTATGCATAAACATTAGGATTAAAATAAACCAATAAATGGGTTAATTGTGGGGCTCGTTGGTCTAGGGGTATGATTCTCGCTTAGGGTGCGAGAGGTCCCGGGTTCAAATCCCGGACGAGCCCACCTGTGAGACGTTACTGGTTCAGTGTGGCTGCAGTTTCCTGTCACATTTGAAAAAGAGAATTTTCCCTTGAGCATATAAGATCAATAACAATAAACAGTTTCTGAGCAACAATGCCTCAATGGCAGAGAGAAGTCAGTTATCAGGCTTCAGATACAAAGATGCTACTGATCGATAGGTTCATTGTTGGTTTCAGTCTTTTCACTGGATTTACTGATAGTGAGAAAAATACAGAACACCTCCACATGCATCGAATTAGAAATCAACCTATGTCTGCTTTTACAGTTAGAAAAACTACATTTTTCCAATCTTTTCATAGAAGAATATGATATTTTATTATGAAAAAATGACATCAAATGTAGGTTCTGTGGTTGTTTTGTGCACCACTTCACACATAATGTTTGGATCGCCGCTACAATTCAACACAACGTGGTGGCACAACCTGTGAGGATGGAGCCAGAGCAGTTTGTGGTTGAACTCACAGAGATGCGGTCATCCTTGGTGCTGACTCGGGCGTTGTTGCGTTTCCAGGACACGGTGGGCTCAGGGTGACCACGTGGAGGAATACACTCCAGCACGGCAGGCTCCCCGGCAGCCACCACCACGTCGCTGGGGGCCTGACGGAAATCATCTCTCAGGACTGGGAAGAAAACAGAGAGAAATCTAATTAGGTTCAGAAGGCCTGTCTGTAACAGACCTGCAGACTGGCGACCAGGAGCACAAACACACACACACATATGCGACCAGCATCATCAAATGAACCACCAATTTGTCCTGAAAATAATTTAGACTGCACCACATCTTCCTGGGCGAACTGCCTTCCTGCTGGAGGTTGTCTTCAAACATCTTATTGAGAGAGACTCGATTATTGTGTTTGCATGACCGCCCAAATCCGCAGCAGCGTCCTTGTTAGACTGTACTTGGTTTTAATGTTTTCCCAGGCCTGCGTCCTACTCTGCTGTCTCTCCTGTCACAGCCGATGAATAATGCACATCACTCAGTCCAACATGGAGTAAACACATAACAGCGCATTCATAATTTAGCCCATGTGTGAGGGAGAAAAAATGGTCTCTGCATTAATGAAAGGATTTTGTCTCTGATTCAAATCACTATCTTACAAATGTGCAGCACAGCTCTGACTCCGGGCGAGCTAAAGCCTGTCAGCGCTGAAGTTTGAGCTCCGGCCACCCTGCGGATGACGACAGGATGAGAAGTTTGACACGGCGACCTTTGATATCTTCTAATCTTTTGCTATGATTGACAGATGAAAGCCTCAGTGTGAACCGTGAACCGAGCCTTCTCATGAGACCTCCTGTGCAATGGAAGCTCATACTCAGATGCTGACAGGCTCACATACACACCAAAAAAAAAAACGGCTTCTCGTTGGACCACATCCTGTAGCTAAAGCCTAGAGGCGTTTTTTTTTTCACAACCAAAGTGTTTTATTCCAGCATAATCAATCAATACAATCTCCTTTTACAATTTCATGAATATTTCAGTGATACAAAGATGAAAGATACCATCTGCTTTTCTGCAAATCTGCAATCTGATGCCCCCTTTAAACTCCTCTCAATCATACGGTCACTGAAGTCAAGTGTTGTGTCTTTTTATTAGCCTTGCCAAAACCAAAAGGTCAACAAGTGAAGCGCTTAGTTCGCTCTGGCGTTGCCCACCAATTCTTCATCCAACTGGTCGGCAGCAGAGCAGCCAGCGAGTTCATCCCATTGGCTGAGAGACCTGTGAGTCATAACCTCCTCCAACAGGGTTTGTTTTAATGATGAAAATCCATAACACTCATAAACATCATGGTTAATGTGTTGTTTATTCAATGAAAGTATGAAACAACATTGCACAACTAATTATGATGTTTTTAGAAACACATTAAATCCTGATAGGAGCAAAACTATAACATTAAACATCTGATTCATTATTTTAAAAATAAATCAGCAGAGTGGATAAATTCAAATTCTGCTATTACTGCAATGGAAAAATGTGTCCAAATTCAAAACTCCCTTGACGTTTCTGACTGAATTTGTTGGATAAATCAGAATTGTGCAGTTTTAAAGACAGCTAACAGGCTTATGATAGCATCCTGGTGTCAATTCCAAACTCAAGGTAGGTTAAGAAATGGAGAAATAAGAACTACAGTAAAGCTCAGGGTAATGATAGCAGTTCAGTCCTGCATTTCATTTGGTTTAGGCAAGTTTACACTCCAGTAACTGCAGCCAAATGTGCCTTAGAGAAAATGATCATGGCCAAAACCATTGGAGATGTTTTCAGTAAGTCTTGATGGCTTAAGTTGGGAACACATAACCTCCACATTTGTTCCCCTTTTCTATGAACTAACAATGGCTTTTTCTTGAAATTAAATGACTAGAAATATTTGAAAATCTCAGAAGGTCAGTTAAAAACTCTTTCCACTGTATTAAAGGTATTTCTGAAACCCTTAAGAGCCCAATGTTAATGCACATTTTGACAATAAAAAAGTATATTAGTTCCAAATATTGGTTATTGAGTCCCCATGATTACTAATAATCTGAATCAGGATCAGCTCTAAAAACAGCATTTCAGTTGACATGGTCCCGGTGTTCAAGTCACGTCAGCTAAAACAACTATAAGTTTTAAGTCTCGGGTAAATGGTGATAAATATTCCAAAACATAGCGATGCTGTGAGTTTCCACTCAGGTCTAAAATGAACATCGGTCAGTCCATTTACCTTATCAACCTGCTGCTATAACCCAGTTCGTGATATAACTGAACTCAATTGAATTGAAATGAAGTGGAAATTTACCCTTCAAACTGAGTGGAGAAATTGGATTTTTTTTCCCTAAATGCTGTAACATCTGATAAACAGAAGTGAGAAGTCTTCTAGCCTCTTTAACATCATTAAATTTCTCATTAGGCCGCAGTGATATTTTAATTATTAATTGGGGTGTAATACATCTCAGAGCAGGTGATTATGTGTCAACAGACCAAACCAAAAAAAAAAAAAAAGAAATCCTCCTAAAACAGGACAGTTAAGGAGCCTTTGCAGGAGCAATAGCTGAGACATGGGTGGACTAAAACCAATAAAGGCACTCACACTCCTCCCAGAGGTCTGTTCACCAAATCAGCCCGACCCTGTTCACTTGGCTGCCTGTTTCAAATGCTTTGCAGAGCTGAAGGGCTAATTGAAAGCACTGCATTATTTTTAGACCTTGCTCTGTAAGGCCTGGTTAGATGGGCGCGCAGAGACCTTTGTTTCACAGCCATGGTGACTGAAGTGAAAAAGTTATGGGCAGGGAGCTAATCCCTGAACTGCACACACACACACACACACACATAGATGTGAACACACACACACACAGACAACCCACGCACATGCACACACACACACCTTAGGCATTTGAATCCCGGAGTCCCCGAGCACAGACTCTCAGAAAGTGGGACATTTGAGGGTTGAAACACATGCCAGAGAGCAGAATATATTCCTGACATCACTACCCCCAAACACTGCAACACAAGCCTCCGAAAATTTTCTTTGAAGCTGCGTTCTAGTTAATGTGATCCTTGCCTTTTTTTTTTTTTCCCCAACTTTAAAGTCTGCCACGCCCAACGGAGTTTCCCACGGATGTTTACGTGATGACGCCGCCGCCACCGGATCGCCCCAATCTCCTCAGAAACAGAGAGACAGACTCCCCCCCTCCCTCCCGAGGGGCTACTGTCCCTAACTTGACTCCTCAGACATAATACGACTGCAGAGTAATCCCCCAAACCAGGCTCCCACTTCTGTCCGTCCTCACTCAGATAGGCTGAGCGGTTACTGCAGGGCATCCGCGGCTTGACCCACAAATCCTCATATTACCCCCAAGGCACATCCTGTGAGCTTAAACAATAACAGGAGCAGGCCCTAAATGACTTTGGGCGGTTTCATCATTATTTCTTTTTCCGAAAGCAACCCGTTCATTTTCACAACTTTAATATTTCAGGGATATACAGATTAGGAGATTTAATCTCCCCGAGAATATTCATCACTTGATTTTTAAGTGATATTTATCTCTATATTATGTGGTTCAGCAGACATGAGCTAAACTCCTCAGTGAGGCCATCTGTTAGTGTTTTTGGAGAAATTAACATAGAGAGGGAAAGAGATTCATGGTGGCTAGGTATTGCATTTGCATTTTCCTGCTGCACGTACAGGGCTGATTAACAGTTCACAGGAAGATAGGCGAGTGTGACAGACAGACAGACAGACAGAACGGGGAGGGGGGGAAGAAAAAGCTTTTGTGCTAAACATGAGGTGACAGTGAGTGTGGAAAGAAGACAGTGTGGGCCAGACAGATGTGGGAACAGATACCTGGCTCTGTGTTTTCATAGCTGACAGGTAGGACGGAGAGGTTAAAGGCCGGAGGAAGTGCACATTTTGGAGAGTGTGAGGCGACTCTGCTGCCTGGTTCCTGTTGTTCTTTTATTTCAGAGAGCAGTAAACCCGTTAGGGAGGTGGTCTAATCCCATTGCCATGATACTGCCCTGTCATAGCTAATGGAGGCATTGCCTACAGAGAAGAGAGATTGCTTTAATCCACCCATTGTCTGATTGTGTCGACAGCGGATGAGAAGGCACTTCAGGGCAAACAGCCTTTATGAGAAAGCCTCGGCCATAAATTCCTCCACTTCCAAAACATGTGATGATGTTTCAATTACAAACGCACGAAGACAACATTTTACGGCACCAGTAAGCCTTGACGGGACTCGCATAAAACACAGCAGCGGTGATTTGCACAGCCGACGTTTAGCCTGACAGCTTTCATGCGCTCTAAACTACACGTTAGGGATAATATATATACACCTGCAGATTCTTGAAGAGAACATAAAGCAGAAGAAGAAGCCGAGAAAGAAGCCGCAACCGGAACTTTGATTCCTTCATAATCCCTCATCAGGAGTAGGAACATCTGGCTCCAAAAGCCTTTTAAGCAACTTTTGTTTTTTATTTGTCCTACTTTATTCTAATCCTGTCGCATCATGTGACCGTCTCCTCGCTGAGACAGGCAGGGATTCACATTCATGATTTTGAAATAGACACCAACCACTGTTTTCCTCCCTCCTTCTTGTTTTCTTTTTAAGGCAAAAAAAAAAAAAAAGCAGTTTGGAAGAATGGTGGGGAATGGATTTCAGTCCACTCCCACTGTCTCATTATTCTGGTTTTTCAACAGCCGGTTAGTGGCAGCCTACAGTAAAAAAAAAAGAAAAAAAAAAGCAAAGAGAAAAACAGTGGGAATAATGACTGCTCCTGGCATTTCTGAGCAAAGCAGGCTCCTTACTACGAGGTACTCTAGAAGGACGCGATGGCAGCTATACAAAAAAAAAAACACAACATAACTTGTGGACCCTGGGGTGCATAAAATGCATCTGAGCATAAAAAATATTATTTAAACTGCAAATGTGCTGCAAATGGGGACTGCTTTTTGAGCAACGAAATCTATCTAAGTTGAATCATTCTCAGGAATTGTGTTTTGATGCAAACCTCATGACTCAGAGGTGAAGTCAGCATTAGTTCATGCTAGATTTTCTCCACATACTGTACCTTTATTTCTTCTGTCTTCTGTGAATTATAAGCAGGACTTCCAGTAATCTGCTACAGGTGTCTTTCCTTTTCTTGGAG